CAAGTCTACCAATTTGTAATTAATGTCTTTACTTTCGTTAACAAATTCTTTTTTCTGAAATAAATAAAAAAGATGAAAGATTGAATTTCTCTGAATTTAGTCGTCAAATTTGATGATCACTCGAAACTCAATTTAATTAAACAGCCTGGAACCTATAAATTAAGTTTGCTTTGCAACAACAAATAAATGGTGATCATGGGTTCTAATCCTGGTCAACGTGTGATAATTCGATGAGTTTACTTTCCTCATTATTTCAGTCGTCCTAGCTTTAGGTCAATGCCAAAGAAGGTTTGGTAAAAATGGTTGTTTTTTTCTTCTTATTTTACCTACCCAGTTGTGATCTGTAGACTGTGCACTCAGATTATCAATAACAATACCAAACGCGAATGGTGTCTCAGGGTTTAATCTCTTATCCTCATATCGAACATGGACGTTTTTAACATTCAACTAAAAACAATAAATAACAGAAATAATCTTATTTTAGTGACTGTTTTATCTTACATCTCAGTTCAACCTCCAAGATCTGGGCTCCACCTTCGTACTGGGACAGGTGGCAGATGATGGAACTTGTGTTTATCAACTGATCTTCCTTTTCAGAGTCATTAAAGCTTATGAAGGTATATCGATATTTGATATAGAGGTTTGAGTATATTGATATTTGATATAGAGGTTTGGGTGTATTGATATTTGATATAGAGGTTCGGGTGTATTGATATTTGATATAGAGGTTTGGGTGTATTGATATCTGATATAATGGTTTGGGTATATTGATATTTGATATAGAGGTTGGGTATATTGATATTTGATGTAGAGGTTTGGGTATATTGATATTTGATATAAAGGTTGGGTATATTGATATTTGATATAGAGGTTGGGTATATTGATATTTGATATAGAGGTTTGAGTATATTGATATTTGATATAGAGGTTGGGTATATGGATATTTGATAGAGAGTTTTGGGTGTGTCCAGAATCCCATGAGTCCACACGGTTTATATTTAATATTCTAATATGGATATTCATAACAACATTAAACAATCCTGACCTGTATATTTTCTAAGATATTAGTTGCCATGGAAGTACCGTATGAAAACCATGATGACTTCGCCCAATCCTGTTTTCCTTGTCGCAAAATCTGAAAAAAAACCACATGGTTACAGTGGAACAGTGGAGCCTCGTTTATCCAATGAATACTTATTACTATAGAACTTGATAATTGGTTCCCAATCACAGCCGTGTTGAACCGGAAACCAGAGAACCAGATTAACAGTTACTTTTACATAGTAAATATTCCGTCCCAGTAAAAAGTGTGTGTATCGGGGTTTCCGGATTATCAGCAACCGGATAAACGCAGCTCCACTGTATTTTGTAATCTTACTATGCTCTGTCTGAGCTTATCTTTTGAGCTTTTCCAAAACTGGCCTATATTCTTATAAACCTTCACCCTAAACAATCATATGAAACCATGGTGTGTGCAATCAGGGAAATTTTTCTTTTATTTATCAGTAATTTTCTTTCTCTACTAGTAGTAGTGACCCTTGGGGGTTCAATGAAGGACAGTGATGTCCAAATAAACACAGTGAAAAGACAGACACAACTTTTCACAAAGGGCCTCCCCAACATGTATAAGCACCAGGGCCTTCCCAACATGTACAAGCAACAGCCCCCCTCCCCCCAAACATGTACCATCACCAGGGCCTCCCTATCATGTACAAGCATCAGGGCCCTTCCTATCATGTACAAGCATCAGGGCCTCCCCATCATGTACAAGCATCAGGGCCTTCACATAATGTACAAACATCAGGGCCTTCCCATTATGTAGACCAGTCTAATGATCTTACCTGCCATTTTGCTTCCAGTGCTTCCAACATAGCTGTTTTAGCTGCTTCTTTAGCTTCCTTCTCTGTTTCTTCATTGTACTAGCAAATTAAAACAAGTATAATTTATTATACTAGCAAATTAAAACAAGTATAATTTATCATACTAGCAAATTAAAACAAGTATAATTTATTATACTAGCAAATTAAAACAAGTATAATTTATTATACTAGCAAATTAAAACAAGTATAATTCATTATACTAGCAAATTAAAACAAGTATAATTTATTGTACTCGCAAATTAAAACAAGTATAATTTATTATACTAGTAAATTAAAACAAGTATAATTTATTGTACAAGCAAATTAAAACAAGTATAATTTATTATACTAGCAAATTAAAACAAGTATAATTTATTATATTAGCAAATTAAAACAAGTATAATTTATTATACTAGCAAATCAAAACAAGTATAATTTATTATATTAGCAAATTAAAACAAGTATAATTTATTATATTAGCAAATTAAAACAAGTATAATTTATTATATTAGCAAATTAAAACAAGTATAATTTATTATATTAACAAATTAAAACAAGTATAATTTATTATATTAGCAAATTAAAACAAGTATAATTTATTATACTAGCAAATTAAAACAAGTATAATTTATTATATTAGCAAATTAAAACAAGTATAATTTATTATATTAGCAAATTAAAACAAGTATAATTTATTATATTAACAAATTAAAACAAGTATAATTTATTATATTAGCAAATTAAAACAAGTATAATTTATTATATTAGCAAATTAAAACAAGTATAATTTATTATATTAGCAAATTAAAACAAGTATAATTTATTGTACTACCAAATTAAAACAAGTATAATTTATTGTACTACCAAATTAAAACAAGTATAATTTATTATACTACCAAATTAAAACAAGTATAACAAGTATAATTTATTATACTACCAAATTAAAACAAGTATAATTTATTATACTGGCAAATTAAAACAAGTATAATTCATTTTACTGGCAAATTAAAACAAGTATAATTCATTATATTAGCAAATTAAAACAAGTATAATTCATTATATTAGCAAAGTAAAACAAGTATAATTTATTATACTAGCAAATTAAAACAAGTATAATTTATTATACTAGCAAATAAAACAAGTATAATTTATTATACTGGCAAATT